AAATTTTTAAGGTAGAGAATAATGCACTATATACAATTAAAAATGAAAAACAACACGAAAGCACTTTCGGCATTTTTTATCATTGGAAGCATCACATGAAAGACAGTGATGCAAAGGGGGAGTTGAAAGTACGTGGTTTCATTTCTGATCTTATAATTGCATAGATAGCCAGTCCTTTATCTTCTTAGTGCCGCTGGTGGCACAGGTGGCCTTACTCTTCTAGTCCTATAGTAAGTACTCTTAAGTGAGTACCAAAGTAATGGCAAAATTTAAATGAACAAAAACCTTCTTCTTTCCCTCTTCCTTCTCAGTTGCTCAACTAATGAATAGTGAATGAAAGGGACAAATAAGTAACATTTTAACTTGCTTAAAAAAGTCAACTGAAGTTTTCCCTTTATATGTCCTCTTAACTTTTTCCCAGATTACCTTTTTAAATAACAAGATTAGAGTCACTTTCACTCTTGCCATATTTTGTTCCTGACTCTGGGTATCTTCCTCCTGGAATGAGTGCTTATTTTATTCAAAAGTTTATGAATGAATAAAACTCCAGTTAGAGTAGCTTACCTTTTATTTTGTTTTCCATTAATTTGTTTGATGCACATGACTTAAGTGTTATATAGGGCTGGGTTATGTAAAGAAAGAGGGAATGAATTAAGGACAGGAAAAAAATATTAGAACATAAAAATGGTAAAACTTATAAATCTAACTGGTAGTTCTTTGAAAATACAATTTTAGCTAACTAATGCAGGGATGCATGGTGAAGACACAAATGCACCAAGTAAATGGTAATGAAGAAAAACATAAATAACACAGGAAATCCAAAGACTCCTAAGAGATACTTAAGTAAAAATTTTAAAGCCAGATAAAAATAAATAAGTTTCTAGGAAATATTATTTTCTGCAACTGACAGTAGGAGAGCTAGAAAAACCTAAATGGAGAAATTGCCATAAACCAACCGGAAGAAATAACCTTGGGGGAATAAAGCTACCCTCCAAAATATGTCAGACCCCGCTGATTTTTCAGGGGAATTCCATCAGATACTTCAAGAGATCATTCCAGTGGTATTTAGAGGTTTTCAGACATATAAAAAGATAGCTGTCATAGTTATAAAATTAATGAAATGACTCTTAACATTGATATCAAGACTCAATAAAGACAGAACAAACTTCCCCCCAAAAGCCCCGCAAATGCCAGCCTCAGTTATGAATATTGATGCAGAAATTCCAAATAAAATATTAGTGAATGGAACTCCACAGCACATTAAGAGAATACTACGTTACAACCCAGTGAGGTTCACTTTGGGAGTACGATAGGTCAGTATTTGGAAATTTATTAATAAAATTTATAGTAACTTGTCAAATAAGAAAAAAATGCGTGAAAAGCATTTCATGAAATTGAACATTAATTCTTTTAAAAAATTCTTGACAAATTAAAAATGGGTATATACTAATTTCACATGATAATATATATATCTATGGCAATGGAAAGCCAGAATTTAGCATATTAAAAGCAGGCACAAAACAACAATGCCTACTCTCTATAGTTCTATTACTTTTTTTTTTTTTTCTGGAGTTACTGGCCAACACAATTAGCCAAAAGAGAGAGATTAGTGGTATAATATTGGAAAGAAGGACATAGAATTAGCACTGTGGCCTTTACTGTATTTGTGTTTTTCAGTTTTAAATCTCTTCTTTTCTTTATTGTTCCTTTTTTCTCTTGAGCCAAAGTTTTGTTTCATTTTTTGTTTTCCTTTTGGAGAAAGATTAAATTATCTTTAATGAGGGTCCTAAACATTAGAATACTTTTATTTTTTTCTACACAGCACAGTCTGTGATTTCCAGCTCTTCTTGGCTGTCATTGTGTCCCAGGGATCTTCTTTTAATACTCAGAATTCCCTCCTCTCCATGTTTTAAATAAGGGAGGGAGATGGGTGTGTGCGCGCGCACATACCAGTTCTGGACTGGGTACTTTTAAATAACATAGCAAGAGATTCAAACTGCTGAGCAGTTATTTTTAGTACGTTTTTATACTCATAATAGAGGACGGGAAACGAATTTTACAGCCTTGGTTTATTTAATATCATTTCGGTAACCAGGAGTGGGTTTTTCAGTATCAATGCTTCCACACATCATTGAGAGATTGAAAACAAATGATTGCATTGGGACTAGTTAAGCCTTATTTATACTTTTGTTACTGAAGCCTCACTTAAAACAATTTCTACCGTATGTGTACTAAAATTAGATGATTGGCACCAGATTTCCTTGCAAATATTAACATTTATTTTTAAGATGTGTGTAAATGAAGGTAATTACAGTTTTCCTATAAGAATTGGTTACATTTAGAACTGATTTTTATTTTAATGGACTTTTTCTGCTTACAAATGTAATTATAGAAAACAAACCTTTATGGACACATACTGTACACTATTTAATAGAGCATAAATGTATATACATTTTGAAATACCTATTTTTCTTAATAGTATATTTTGCATATTTTAGCATGCCATTTTTTTAGGATCTTACTTTTGAATAATTTCCTTTTTTTTTTTTTCCCCTATGAAATGAATTTCAGAGTCTCCCCTTCTCTCCAGACTTCGTTTCTCCTAACTCCTTTCTTTTCACAACTCCTTCCACTTTTGCTCCCTTCCTGTTTGGGGGAGAAAAATGAAGTACACTTTTTTTTACATGGTTGACTCTTCAAAGTGACATGGTTATTTAAAATAAATGAGATTTTGCCGATTTGGCTATACATAATATTTAGTAATAGGTGCTAGTTTGCCTTATTGATGATTAAGCCATGTCTTTGGTTATGTGTTTGTCTGTTGGATTCCAAAATGTTACCACACGGGAATATTTGCCAAACTATATCAGAGTGAATTTGTCTGGGGTAAAAGGGGAAATTACGGAGTGTATCATCAAAGCTACGCCATGTTTTTCAATATGAGAGCCACCAGCCACTGTGGGTATTTAGGTTAATTAGAATTAAGTAAAAAATTCAGTTCTTCAGGTACACGATCCACACAGTTCGTTCATGTGCTTAGTAACCACATGTGACTAGTCCAAATTACATATTGAACGAGCAGATGTAGAGCATTTTTAACATCACAGAAAGTTCTCTTGGACAACCTTGGGGTATATAGTCTATACATGTTATCTGTTTATTGTATTAGAATTTAAAAATCATTTTGGCTTTTTAATTTTCTTCCCTGGTATTATTAAAAAGCAGAATTTCTGTCAAATTTTTTGAAACAGTGAACAGTTCAAAATTATTTAGAGTGATTTTTACTTTCCTATCAGCTTAATTTTTAAAATTATGTCCTGAAGTAAAATACATAAGAATGTAGGGTTCCCAGAGTTTGGAAATTCTAGAACATTAAAAAAAGTCTTGATATAGTACAAAGTCCAGATGTGGGCAAGGGTAGGGGTGGGCTCTTGGACGAGAATCTAGAGAGGATGATGTAGAAAGAGGAGCTGATGGTGGTGGTTTTTTTAATCCCCACCTGAGGATATGTTTTTATTGATTTGGGAGAGAGAGGAAGGGAGAGAGGGGGGTGGGGGGAGAGAGAAACATTGGTTGGCTGCTTCCTGTGTGCACCCCAACCTGGGATCAAACCTGCAACCTAGGTATGTGCCATGACCAGGAATCAAACCCACAACCTTTTGGTGTACGGGACGATGCTCCAACCATCTGAGCCACCTGCCCAGGGCAAGTGTTGACTGTTTTTAAAGGACATTCAGAAGAAACAAATTTAAGTGGAGAAATAATTTATTTAGGGCATGTAATTTTAAGTTATAATTATAGTATTAATGTAAATTAATCTAGAAAAATTAGGAGCCTTAGGAAACAAAAAATAAGAGGGTAGGGATAGAGAGGAACTGTCAATAATCCCGTTGTCATTGAGAACAGCCATACTATTTGTCACGTGTCTGTCCAGCCTCTCTTCTGTGTCCTTACAGACAGGTCATATTCATTCAGCAGTGAGTGAGGTCAGTGGAAAATGCAGATGAGATGTTAGTCTAAGAGGCGGGCAATCAGGGTGCTAAAGAGCTCTGACGCTAAGCCAGATGGCCTGAGTTCTACCTATAGAAGCATGAAATTGTGAGGTGCAACTGTTTTTCATACAGTATAGTCGGGGGCAGTTTGGTCAACTATAAGAGGCTAAAATAAGTTTTCAAGTTTAAAATTTTAGGTGCACCTTTATAAGAGCTGAAATAGATTAAACAAGTGCCGACAGTTTTGCGTTTGTCAAAGCATCTTTCATTTCTAAACTATAATACTAGAATTGTAAAGGAATTCATCTGGTCTTATAATGCTTTACAATATATTCTTGCCTTTGTGTGTCTTGGGTAATGATGATGGGAAATTAAGTTCCAAATTATTTTTTATTTATTAATATAATTTTACTTGTTTTCCATTAAGGAAAATTATTTAAGCTAACTAGTTATGAGAAATGTCTCTAGTTATGAGAAATCCCATTGTTTCTTAGAAATTTGAATTTTGAGGGTGAAGTTGGCAATTTGGAAAAAAAAATAAGTAAAAGGAACAGTGTGTTCCTGGAGTGCTGGCACACAGGTCCGCCCAGCGCCAGCCTTTTCACTCTTGACTGTTATTACATACCCAGTGTCAGGATGTGGCTGCCAGTTTACCGCTTTGCTTTAATCGTAATTTATGTTTTTAGCAGAAATATAAACTGCAACCAATGCTTGAAGTATTAAAGCAATATGTTTAACAAATTAAAGGTTTTATTAAGCTAATGTTTGTTGGGGGCAGAAAACCCCCAAAAGGTGTAGTTTCTGTGCAGGTTCTATTTGATGACGATTTTTTTTTTCTGTTTGATTTCATGTTATAAACACTAGACCATAGTAATAGATGGATTTTGCACACATGTTTGTCATCTGTAGGTTTATAGAAACATTAGTTTTTGTTTAGAATGTTCAGTGATTGGACTATCTCAGATTATTTGCTAGCAGGTAAACTTACATTCATTTGCCTTCTTTCAGATTCATGAAAAACTACACTACTACGAGAGGCAGAATCCTGTGCCCATCCTCCACGGTGCGGCAGCCTTGGCTGATGATGTAAGTGTGTCTTCTGAGATCACTGTGACAAGTCTGCCACCAGCCTGGCCACAGCAGAACTTATCCTAGTGCAGACAGATGCACGCGATACTATGAGTGAAAACCAGAAGAAGTTGCAGATGTTTCCAAAAGCCCTGTCATCACGGAGCTTACGCCGATGTTATGCTGATTTTCACTCCTGTTTTAAAAATTTTGCATGTAGATACCCTCTTGTTCTGCCTTGGTAACTACGTAATAGAAATTTTAGGCTGTAACTCTCGGGGGGAGAGAGAAGCTGTCAGCTATTAGTGTATACAGAAAGTCACAGACAAGAGGAATGCTTTGGAGAAATAAAGACAAATGAGATAGCTCTATTGCTGACAGTATTAAAAAATGACAGATACTAGTATAGGAATGAGGCATATGAAATACATAAAAAGACAGGATTGTTTTTAAAATGGATTATAAAGCATAGTAATGATTTATGGGTATTAGACCTTTCCAAATTACCTTCATAACCAAAAAATAAATTTTAGAAGCAGTTGGCATTGATGGAGTAGTTAATTTCCTGTAGCTATAATTTTATTTTCAATCTGGGGTAAGGAACTAACTTGCTGTTTCTTACTGTTAACTTTCGGACTCGGATGAATTGAGAGCACACCTGGGTAAACTGTAAGGGACACTAAGCTCGACGAGAAATATGTTTAGTGTGAAGGCTGGTTTTCATGATCTCCTGAAGCTAATATGTTGCCTTTTAAGTTTTTATTTTGTTAGGTTAAAACCAATTATAATTCAGTTTAGTAAAATATCAGGGCGATTAGTATAATTTTAAAAAGTTGGCCATCTTTAGAGGGTGATTTTCTTTGATGTATTTTATATTCTAATTTAGAAAATAAAGCATGTAATCTCCAAGTTGTGGACTATTTGTTTAGTTCCCAAACATTTTTCCTTCCATTTTTTATCTACAGAAATTACAAATTATAAGGATGTTTCAGTATACATATTTTATAAGGAAGTTTACCTCTGTATTATAGAACCAAAACATTTAATGGGAAGATGAATAAAAGTGCAGATACTCTTCTACAAAAAGTTGCAGTTGCCACTTGTGAAAGTAAAATTAAAAAAAAATTTACTCTTGAAAGTTTGGAGAAATATTTGTTTATAAACCAGTGTAATTGAGGCCCAATCATATTATGATAATATGCTTTTTTAAAAAGTAAATGAAAGACTAATATGTAAATATGGTAAGATAGTAATTCATCAGAGCAATGAATTGAAATGTTAAAAAATATTACATATTAAGTGCAAAGAGCCCAAAGAGTGCAAAGAGCCCGTTGCAACTTTTTGTAAGCTAACTCTGGAAAAATGTTACCTTAAAAAGTAAAAGCACTTTTTGAAATATAATCAATGAATATACCAATTTTATTGGGTTTTATTTTTTATATGTATAATTTATATTTAGTCCTTTTAGAGAAAAGTCCTTCTCCAGAGATTAAAAACAATTATTTTCAGTTTAGTAGAAACAGTAGGGGCAAATTTTATACAATGTTTTAAGAAAGGGTTTTAAATGAAAATATATGTACATAGTTTGAATTCTGTACTGCATATTTCATAGTTCTAATCTTTTTTCTATTTGAGTATTGTTTTTCTCCTTATGAAAATTATGTGATCCTTCCTATAGGCTAAAATTGAACAGAAATTTTGATAGGAATATCTCATAGTTAAGAATGTGAAGCAGGTTCAGAGCTCTCGTCCTTGCTTTAGCTGGAACCAGCAAATGGGAATTGTTGATCGTTGTAGTCGAGTACAGTCAGTGTTTTTGGTACTGGAGTAGTTGTCAACCTATTATAAGTCATTTTATGATTAACCTGGTTTATATTTAACAGACTCCTTAGTCTGTGTAGGTAAACATAATAAAAGTTTTGGACCTTTGCCCTAATAGAGGCATTCTAGTGCTTTTTCCCCCAGCTCTAAACAGCAAGCTACTGTGGGTTTTTGGAAACCCTGTGGATTTCACCACCTCATTCAGATATATTTTTTTTCTTTTCTTTCTTTCTTCTTTTTTAAATAGTGTCAAAGTTTAATCCAGTCCTTTTTACAAGTAGTCCTTTGTCTGCATGCAAAAGGCCATTCCGTAGATGAAGTGCTGGGGTTTGCCCTCATTGCAATAAATCAGAAGGTGATCTGACTGATGTGATTCCTTGGGCTGTGTTTAGCCAAAGGCCTGGGCTGGGATCTGGGCTAACAGGGGTCTAAAAAGGAAAGCAATGATTGATAGTCTGTTTTCTTTCATGCTGACTTTTCCTTAATTACTGGACAGTCACAAGATAGATCTTTAGTGGTCACACATGGAACTGCACGATGCTTTTATTAAATGTTCTTTATGTCAATGTGATCTCTCTTGCAGCTGGCTGAAGAGCTTCAGAACAAGCCATTAAATAGTGAGATCAGAGAGCTGTTGAAACTACTGTCAAAACCCAATGTGAAGGTGAGGACATGCAATAAATATCTTCCAAAAGGGCCACTTTCTGAGACTTCAGATGAATTTTGTTTTCAGCTTCAATTTTCAAGTAAACTTATTTTCAATAAGTATATAGTATTTTAATAGCCTAAATCTCATTAAGGAAAAAGAGTTGAGCTTTTAATGATAACATGACAAATTATAAAATACTTTAATTGGGAAGCTCTGAATTTAAGTTGGCAGATATTATGTGGCTTCAAGGTTATTTTCCTTTTAAATGAAGGTATGAGTACAGAATACAGAACTTATTAGTGATTTGGCTTATGTTCATTTTACCAGTTAGTGGTATTCCAATATATTTGACAATTATATCTTTTTCTGTAGGATCATTTTAACATTCTTCTTCCTCTTCCCCCTTCCTCCTCCTATCTCCTGTCCCTCTACCAGTTCATGTTTTAATATATCCTACCATTTTATAGAGCAGAGAAGTCTCCAGTGTAAATACCACTATAATATTGGTAGATAGATTTTAATTCTCCTTACTGTTTTCCTCCCATGTTTATCACTTAACTCTTCTTTAAATGTGATTAGTTAACAGAATGCATTTTGAAAATTTCCTGTTACTTCTAAGGTCCTAAATGCACTAAATCCCAAAACCTATACGCTGGATTTGACTCTACAGCAATTGAATGTAAAATATTGTTTGTGAGTCAAAAGTACATATGGATTACATAGTTATGTAATTAAAATGGCTAGTTATCATATGATGATTTTGGTAAGCATATTTAGATTGTTGGATGAAAATTCCTGTTCGATACAAAAACTGGTTTCTACCTTCCTTGGAAAATCTCCATTGGAATCATGCTATATGTGTCTTAAATTGATATTCAAAAGAAGAAAGGTAGTATTATTAGAGGATGAAGTGAAGACATGCATAGCCTGTAATTTCTAATCCCTGAAGGTAAGTGTAAGTACATGAACATATTGCTGTCAAGGGTAAATGGATCATGACTACTAATATGAGAATAATTGACTTGAAATGGTACACAGGAGATTGGTTAAATTTTAGTTCTAAAAGAATAAGGATTGTATTAGAGCAAAAAGTTGCTTGATATTAAAGACAAAGTGTGTAGAAAGGTTAAGAGCTCACAAAAGGAAACTCATAGCCAGAGAATGCTCTGAAAATTTCTTCATTTTATCTTAGACTACACAGGAGAAGTTAACATTAACGTTAGCATGGTAAGGTTAGCTGTGAGAAGCTTGTTACTCTCCTTTTTGAGAAGTATTATCTTGGTTTGAACATTAGAAATTTCTGACTAAAACAAAACAAAAAAAACCCCATGGTTTTGGTATTCTGTGCAAGGGTGTTTGAAATGAAATAGCAAATAAGAAAGAGATTATGCTGGATGGAAACTGGTATTTGGCTTAAGAGGGAGCTATGATTTTAGATGGTATTGTGCTTGAACATTGGATATAACTTTAAAATTGAATACTTGAACTTTATTATGTCAGAAATATTTCGTACGAATGATTTCTTTATTTTTTATATTTATTTAGCAGTGCGACTAAAGAATGGGTTAGAAGTCAGCAAGAAATAATTTGTAGAAAGTGGGTAAGATTCTAGGCACATGATCTTACTGCCTATTTCTAGTTAGCCAGTCTTCTTTTTATTGAATTTATTGGGGTGACATTGGTTAATAAAATTATATAGGTTTCAGGTGTACAATTCTATGATATATCATCTGTATATTTTATTGTGTGTTCACCCCTCCCCCCAAAAGCCATGTCTCCTTCCATCACCGTTTATTCCCCCTTTACCCTCTTCTGCCTCCTCCCGCCCTCCTCTCCCTCTGGCGATCAGCACACTGTTGTCTGTGTCTATGAATAGTTGCTTTTTGTTTTGCTTAAATCCCTTCACCGTTTTCACCCAGCCCTCCCAATCCCCCTTCCCATCTGACAGCTGTCCATCTGTTGTCTCTCTGAGTCTGTCACTCTTTTGTTTGTTAGCTAATTTTGTTCATTTGATTCCACATATGAGTGAAATCATGTAGTACTTGTCTTTGTCTGACTGCATATTTTACTTAGTGTGTGCTCTCTAGGGCCATCCATGTTGTCACAAAGAGCAAGATTTCCTTCTTTATTGCCGAGTAGTATTCCATTGTGTAAATCTACCACAGCTTTTTTTTGGTTTTTTATTAATTTTTTTTTTTTTTATCCTCACTCAAGGATATTTTTTCTATCGCTTTTCAGAGAGAGTGGAAGGGAGGGAGGGAGAGAGAAAGAAACATATCGATGTGAGAGAGACATCAATTGGTTGCCTCCCACATGTGACCTGATGGGGGCCAGGGATCGAGCCTGCAACCGAGGTATGTGCCCTTGGCCAGAATCGAACCCAGAACCCTTCAGTCCTTGCGCTGACGCTTCAACCACCGAGCCAAACTGGCTAGGGCTATCCCACAGCTTTTTTATCCACTCATCTACTGATGGGCACTTGAGCTTCTCCCAAATCTTGTCTGTTGTAAATAATGCTGCTACAAACATAGGGGTGCATATATTCTTCCAAATTAGTGTTTCAGTTTTTTTCAGAAAAATTCCCAGAAGTAGAATCACTGGGTCGTAAGGCAGTTCTATTTTAAACTTTTTGAGGTTTTTTATACTGCTTTCCACAGGGGCTGCACCAATCTGCATTCCCACCAATAGTGCATAATGGTTCCCTTTTCTCCACAGCATCACCAACACTTTTTGATTTATTGACGTAGCCATTCTGACAGGTGTGATGTGATATCTCATTGGGATTTGAATTTGTATTTCTCTGATGATTAGTGACCTTGAGCATCTTTTCATGTCTGTTTGCCTTTTGTATGTCCTCTGGAGAAGTTATCTATTCAGGTTTTTAGCCTGTTTTTTAATTAGATTGTTGTTTTGGTGTTGAGTTTTATAAGTTCTTCATAAATTTTGGATATTACCCTAGCCAGTTTGGCTCAGTGATTACAGTGTCAGCCAGTGGACTGAAGCATCTTGGGTTCGATTTAGGTCAAGGGCATGTACCTTGGTTGACGGCTCTATCTGATCCTCCCCGTGTGTGGGAGGCAACCAATAGATGTGTCTCTCTCACGTCAGTATTTCTCTCTCTCTCTCTCCCTTCCATTCTCTCTGAAAAGCAATGGAGAAAATACCCACAGGTGAGGATTAAAAAAAATGGTATGGATATTAACTCGTTATCTGATGTATCATTAAAAAGATATTCTCCCATTCAGTGGGTTGTCTTTTCACTGTGTTGATGGTTGCCTTTGCTGTGCAAAAACTTTTTAGTTTAATATAATCTCATTTCTTTATTTTTTCTTTTGTTTCCCTTGCCCAAGGAGATACATCAGGAAAAAAAATATCGTTAGGAAAAATGTCCGAGGTATTACTACCTATGTTTTCTTCTAGGAATTTTATGGTTTGGAGTCTAACATTTAAGTCTTTAATTCATTTTGAGTTTAATCCTGCTCAGAGTGTAAGAAGGTGGTCTCATTTCATTTTTTGCATGGATCTGTGCAATTTTCCCAGCAGCATTTATTGTATAGACTATCTTTACCCCATTGTATGTTTTACCTCCTTTGTCAAATATTAATTGACTGTACAGACATGGGTTTATTCCTGGGCTCTCTATTCTGTTCCATTGGTCTATGTGTCTGTTTCTATGCCAGTACCATGCTGCTTTGATTACTGTGGCCTTGTAGTTTAGTTTGATATCAGGTGGTGTGTTTCCTCCAACTTTGTTCTTCTTTGTCAAAATGGCTGTGGCTATTTAGGGTCTTTTGTGGTTTCATATAAATTTTTGGAATAGTTGTTCTAGTTCTGTGAAATATGCCATTGGTTTCTTGATAGGAATTGTGTTGAACCTATAGATTGCTTTGGGTAGTATGGACATTTTAAGGATGTTAATTGTTCCTATCCATGAACACGGTATGTGCTTCCATTTATTTGTATCTTCTTCAGTTTCCTTCTTTGCTGTCTTACGATTTTATGAGTATAGGGCTTTTAGATCCTTGGTTAAATTTTTTCCTAGGTATTGTTTTTTAAGCAATTGTGAATGGGATTGTTCTCTTAGTTTCACTTTCTGATAGCTCATGATTTGTGTATAAAAATGCAACTGACTTCTTGATATTTATTTTGTATCCTGCTACTTTACTGAATTCATTTATCAGTTCTAGTAGTTCTTTGGTGAAGTCTTTAGGGTTCTCTATATATAATATCATGTCATCTGAAAATAATATTAGTTTTATTTTTTCCTTTCCAATTTGGATGCCTTTTATTTCTTCTTCTTGTTTGATAGCTGTAGCTAGGACTTCCAGTACTATGTAGAATTAATTAGAGTGGTGAAAGCAGACATCCCTGTCTTGTTCCCAATCTTAAGGGAAATGCTGTAGTTTTTGTCCATTGAGTACGATGTTGGCTGTGGGTTTGTGATATATGACCTTTATTATGTTGAGGTATGTTCCCTCTTTCCTGAAAGCTTATATCATAAATGGTGCTGGATTTTATCAATGCTTTTTCTGCATCTATTGATATGACCATGGATGTGTGTTTTTAAAATATGTCCTTACTGACTTCAGAGAGAAGAAGTGAGAGAGAGAGAGAGAAAAACATCAATGATGAGAGAGTCACTGATCAGCTGACCCCTGCCCACCCCCTACTGGGGATCAAGCCTGCAACCCAGGCATGTGCCCTGACTGGGAATCAAACCAAGATCTTCTGGATCATGGGTTGATGCTCAACCGCTGAGCCACGCTGGCTGGCCATGACCATGTGTGTTTTTTTTTGTTTTTTGTTCAATATATCTTTATTGATTTCAGAGAGAGGAAGGGGGAGAGAGAGAGAGAGAGAAACATCAATGATGAGAGTCATTGATCGGCTGCCTCCTGCATGCCCCCCACTGGGGATTGAGTCTGCAACCCAGGCATGTGCCCCGACGGGGAATCGAACCTCCATCTCCTGGATCCTAGGTCGATGCTCAGCTGCTTAGCCACACACAGCCAGGG